AAGTGAAACACAAGCTATGGAGAGGAGAAAGCGAAGGTGAATAAAGACCGTGAAAAGTAAGTAAATGAGGACGTGGCTCGTGTAAGCGTCCCCGGGCAGTGGAGTCCAGAGCGGCACTGAGGGAGCGAGGGGGCAGGGCCGCAGGCCCGCATGGGCCAAGGTCTGGCACTCCTCGTCGTATTCACATACAGTACACTCGCGCACAATCCTAGCATTTTTAACTTAGTCTAAGAATCTACACCACTTACACACATGGATCTAATAATTACCCTTAATTTCTTGTCTTACTTTAGTATCAACATAAACACTACACTACCAATACAAACGAAAGTTTGTTACCGACTTTTGCCACAGTGCGCACGTATACATAGTGTAGATAGAAGGGTCGAGAAAGGCTATTTCTAGTAGCGTCAGGTCAGAGATCAAGGGGATCTTGGGCCTAGCGTTTACGACCCATCACATCCTTCAGCGGCAACATCACCCAAAACACCTACGACTAAAAATAGCAGAGGCTGGTGTTCGGTGGGCCAACGCCTGCACCATGGTCACCTCCATAATCATGGTCCACTACACCACCATTAGGACATAGGCGAGGGTAACAGCGTGTGTCAGTCTTCGTCGCTGACTTTTAAGTTGTGCAAAAATGGTGAGACACGAGTTGTTCAAGATGCTCCCTCCCACACACAAAGATGAGACAAAACAACTGTTCGCTGCACACTGTGGACGTACGGGACAGCTTACTGGAGCAGGTGGTCAGATCCTTAAACGTATGAACACCCCAGAAAAAAAATGGACAAACACTGAGTAGATCAAGATGTGTTTAAGACAAAGCCCTTGAGAATAGGCTACGTTACGAAGCCATCAGCCAGTCCACTACAGCATGGAATGGAACAAAACACAATGATCATAGTAACCAAGAGAACTTTCGTTGAATAGTCTACACACACAATGTATACTGTCCAAACAGGTATACTGTAGTATACCTGTGCACGAGCACGATTTTTTTTTCAGGGGGGTGGGGTGGGGGGCAAACATATTAATGGACCTTGGCAAATACACTGGGTGTTCGTGATAGAACAAATTTAATTTTGTAAAATATAAGTCATAGGTAAATAAGACTGGAGCAATGTGTGGGTAAATAATTATGAGAATAGTGAAATAGTTAACAAAGAGTACAGTATTTGGCGACCTATTGCAGTGTGCTAACGACCGCTTTATGTAAAAAATAAAAATATTGACAAGGATAACTTATTTGAGCCTAATGTCGTTGTTGAATTATACCAAATAATTCATTTTTTCAGGTGAAAATTATAAGAGGTTAATGTTAACTGTATAGTTTGAGAAATAAGAACTGGACTGTACGTTTCAAAACATTATGTGTGTTTGCTTATATGTTTATTGACAAAGTTTGTATCTTATATGTGTTGTGTCTATCTTGCTATATACTGTATATCAATAAGTGCATTGTGTTGTTCCCATTTAGTGACAAGGTCTGGGCCTTGTTAAGATGTTCATGACATGTTAAGTTCTCATTAGGTGTGTTGGTACAATGTATAATATCGATATAAACACTATAACAATTTGTAGATCATGACAACGGGTGGGCCTTGTTACATATAGCTCATGACAACGGGTGGGCCTTGTTACATATAGTTCATGACAACGGGTGGGCCTTGTTACATATAGCTCATGACAACGGATGGGCCTTGTTACATATAGTTCATGACAACGTGTGGGCCTTGTTACATATAGCTCATGACAACGGGTGGGCCTTGATACATATAGCTCATGACAACGGATGGGCCTTGTTACATATAGTTCATGACAACGGGTGGGCCTTGTTACATATAGCTCATGACAACGGGTGGGCCTTGTTACATATAGTTCATGACAACGGATGGGCCTTGTTACATATAGTTCATGACAACGGGTGGGCCTTGTTACATATAGCTCATGACAACGGATGGGCCTTGTTACATATAGCTCCATGACAACGGATGGGCCTTGTTACATATAGCTCATGACAACGGGTGGGCTGTACATATAGTTCATGACAACAGGTGGGCCTTGTTACATATAGTTCATGACAACGGGTGGGCCTTGTTACATATAGTTCATGACAACAGGTGGGCCTTGTTACATATAGTTCATGACAACAGGTGGGCCTTGTTACATATAGTTCATGACAACGGGTGGGCCTTGTTACATATAGTTCATGACAACGGGTTGGCCTTTTACAATGGTTCATGACAACGGGTGGGCCTTGTTACATATAGTTCATGACAACGTGTGGGCCTTGTTACAATGGTTCATGACAGGTGGGCCTTGCATATATAGTTCATGACAACGGGTGGGCCTTGTTACAATGGTTCATGACAACAGGTGGGCCTTGTTACATATAGCTCATGACAACGGGTGGGCCTTGTTACATATAGTTCATGACAGGTGGGCCTTGTTACATATAGCTCATGACAACGAGATGGGCCTTGTTACATATAGTTCATGACAACGGGTGGGCCTTGTTACATATAGTTCATGACAACAGGTGGGCCTTGTTACATATAGTTCATGACAACAGGTTGGCCTTGTTACAATAGTTCATGACAACGGGTGGGCCTTGTTACATATAGCTCGCCGCACAACAGGTGGGCCTTGTTACATATAGCTCATGACAACGGTGGGCCTTGTTACATATAGCTCATGACAACGGATGGGCCTTGTTAGTTCATGACAGGGCCTTGTTACATAGTTCATGACAACAGGTGGGCCTTGTTACAATGGTTCATGACACGGGTGGGCCTTGTTACAATGGTTCATGACAACGGGCGGGCCTTGTTACACTACAGTTCATGACAACGTGTGGGCCTTGTTACAATGGTTCATGACAACAGGCTGGCCTTGTTACAATAGTTCATGACAACAGGTGGGCCTTGTTACATACAGTTCATGACAACAGGTGGGCCTTGTTACAATAGTTCATGACAACAGGTGGCCTTGTTACATACAGTTCAGACAACAGGTGGGCCTTGTTACATACAGTTCATGACAACAGGTGGGCGTGGTTCATGACAACGGGTGGGCCTTGCTACATATAGTTCATGACAACGGGTGGGCCTTGTTACATATAGTTCATGACAAAGGTGGGCCTTGTTACATATAGTTCATGACAACAGGTGGGCCTTGTTACATATAGTTCATGACAACAGGTGGGCCTTGTTACATATAGTTCATGACAACAGTGGGCCTTGTTACATATAGCTCATGACAACAGGTGGGCCTTGTACTATGTTTGGTGACAATAGGGTTTTTCTTGTTATCTATTGCATGAAAATATTTTTTCTTTACATATATAGTTATGATAATATTTGTATCATGTTATATTTGTTTCATGACCATGTGAGGATCTTGTGGCACATGATTCATGATGAAAGACAACAAGTAATGACAGTTGGCGCGTAATTGCCACACACTGTCGATGCATTTTACTATCTGGATAAATTTATTAAGCTGTAGACAACACGATTTGTAATTACAGTAAAAGTAAGATCCACGCACATGGAAGCAACTTATATGGATCTTTTAAGGTATGAATTACGTGTCTATTTCCTCCAAGCATTTCTAAAAGTGTGTTGTATTGAGTAAACACTAATGTTATACTCATCAACATCTATATGGCAACTTGTATGTATTGTTTTCTGGTGCTGTTTGTTTGCCTGACATTTAGTCTGTCTGTTCTCAAAGTAACCTGAGAATTGGTTAGCAGATTTTCACCAAACACTGAAGTTTTGATGACAATGTGCCAAGGTCCACATTATAACATTTGTTTGTCAAGATAACGTTTGGCAGTGACAACAGAGGGGTATTTCGGGAGTTAAAAAAACGATGATACAAATTTTCTAGGTAAAACAAAAACAAAAACCGATACATGAAAGTCTCCAGCAGTGACTACAGTATATTAATTTACAATAACAGTCAGGAGTTCCACATTTCCCGTGTGTTTGTAACGTGCATTTGCATCCGTTTGATTCCTATCGGCCTATACAGTACTGTACTTCCTTACTTTAAAACGTGAGCTGGCTGTGTTGTGCTTGATTACGTATGAGTTTTTGTATAAAATTTACCAGAGACATTTTAAAAATTGTATGAGCGTCTAAGGCCTGCCTTACCTGGTACACTAATTTTTTTTGCAGATTAGCCCACTCGGGCACTGATTTATGACCCACACATCAGGGCCTGGGGGCAGAAAATATTATTATTATGATACTAATACTACTACGACTACTACTACTACTAATAATAATAATAATAATAATAATAATAATAATAATAATAATAATAATAATAATAATAATAATAATTAATAGATAAAAATTATAAAAAAATAATAATAATAATAATAATAATAGTAATAATAATATTAATAGCCATAAATAAATACTGTACAAAAATGAAACAATAAATCAAGAGTGAGAAACGATGTACAGTACGGTGTGTCCTGTATGTTGTGTTGTCAATAAAAAGAGAAACAATTGAGACCCTGTAATTGTGTGTAAATGAGGCAGAAAGTCAGATCAGCAACCTGGAACTTGGTCACAATATTTGAGATGCCATATGGCAGCAGGGTCTACCATTAGACAATAAATTATGCTTCCAATATCTTCCCAGGCGGTAGTACCTCCCTGTTTGATAAGCTGCCTACTACCTACTACACTTGCTTAATCTCCCCATTGTTTCTATAGTTATATTACTCGTGGGTCCAGTGTTAGTGTTATGACTCCGTGTAACAACATTAGGTATTCATAATATGTCCTCAGTTATTGTTATATATTAAAGGCTAAAACAATTATGCAAATGTCAATGAGGAAATGCAAGGGGCGCGAGTAGGTGGCTGCCACACTGGTTGGCCGTATATACTGTACACTGTACAGTACATACAACCAACACTGTTACAGCACACGCGCAGTTCCATACACCCTCATGAAAAATACACAAATAATTACGTGTGTTGCTGCTGCCCTCGCCGCCGGTGTCCTTCCTATTGTTGGTAAACACTCGCAGGTTTTGTCGTCGAATATCCTGTTGTTGATGGTTTGTACTAAGTTGATACTTTAATTGTTGTTGTTGAGACAGAAGATGATGCCGTGACTGGTGTTGGTGGTGGAGTACCTGAGGCCGCTCATTGTACAAGTGAATTGCACACCTCTCCCACACTGCTAGTACTTGTGCTGTGATGGGATACACAGATGCTGCTTAACCCGTCACCAGGGACCTGCTGCGATTCCTGGTGGAGAGCTTGACGCTGGACCTCCCCCACACTACCATGGACCTGGTTTAAAGACATAGACTGAGGGTGGTGATTGCCCGTAGTGGCCTCACAGTTCGAAATAGGAAGATCCTTGTGTGTCCTGGGGTCCCAAGTATCACGTAATTGAGTCACGCGAGAGTGAGCACCCATTTCTTTATGAAGGAGACTTTGTGAACACTGGGGACGACGATTCTGGGAAGGCTGGAGGTAGATCATCTCTGCTGTAGCCAACTTGGTCCCGCTACGTCTGCACCGGTCCACTTGAGTGTTTCACCTTCTCTTTACTTCGCTCAATGCCATGTTTAGCCTCAACTATTTCAGAGATAGTATCTTGAAATTCAGTAGAGGTAACAGTGTGCTGTAATTTGGCTGAGCAGGACTTTTGCGTTAAAGGTTCGAGACATGAAGAGGAATCATGGGTTTCTTTAGAATCTTGCCTAGGATAGCCGCTGAGGCAAAACACCAGCCCGGAAACCCTCACGCTGAGTAGCGCACCATTCCCTTCAGGGGCAAGTCTTACCGACGTCATGCTTGGCTCCTCCACGATCTTCTGCACATCCTGGAAATTGTCAAGAGCAGGCGTGGTGGTGGGTGGGGGAACAGTCGTGCTAGGTGAGCCCCGAGAATCAGACGCACACCTAATAAGACAGCCCCAACATCCTGGTCGCGAGGTGGTGACACCGTATCTCGGTCATCGAAGCTAAGGTCTCCGCTAACAGTACTGAGTGTGTCATTGTGGTCTTCCTCACACGTCTTGCCTCCCTCACCCAAGGCCTCCACGTTTCCAGTAATTGCACCTGGTCTCGCTCGCACTGTGCTCTCTGTTTCATCACTCTCACTATCATCATCATCGTCATCTTCATCACTCTCATCCTGGTCCTCACTTTCTACATCACTTATTTCGGATTCTTTATTTTCAACAGTAATGTGAATACGATAATGTCCGTCACCTGGCATACCCTCCTCGTTTTCACAAGCACCACTGTCACTTTGTTTTAACCCTTCAACAGACTGACCTTGAGCAGAATTCTTTTTACTTCTCTCAGAGTGTGGCTGTTGGTAGTGGTCCTCTTGGTCCTCAGTAATAGTATAGTGGGAGTAGTCTGCTTGTTGTCCACTTACCTTTACCTCATATTCGTCTTCAGATGTGTCACATGAATCCCCCGACCCTTGCTCACTATCAGTATCGGTCAAGTTCCTGCTGTGGGCGATATTCGAGGATTCTTTCCACTGTTTTTTCCCTTGACCACCCAGGGCATGCATATTGGCCAGCACTTGTGCCCTACTTGGCCCAGGGGCACGACGAGACCAGCTTTCCACCTCGTGCTAAGGGTGAATCACTACAAAGAATGTTTCCAACTGCAGGTTCTTGGTGACGAGGCCGAGGGAACGGCCCAGGGGAATGGTCCGCTCCCGGAAGGTGATTCCGCATATTGAGCCACCACTCTCACCTTGAACTCTTAGAGGACCGTCTACTCTTCTTGTTAAAACACATCTCCCACCAAAGTTGTAGTAATATATATATTATTGGGGGCTATAATGGCGTGAGAGGAGAACTGATGGTAGCGCAGCAGACGTCACCCAGGAACTGACTGCTGCCCGAGAACTGTGGTGTCGGAGTGCTGGGGAGCAGCAACATGTCCCCCACCCCACATCCTCTCTGACTGCCTCCTCACCACCACCACACCACCAGGATCTGAAATACGGCAAGAGGTTCGTTCATCGCCACCCACTACATCGCCTTATAACACCCACCCTAAAAACAATTCTATGATAACAACAACTGTCTTTTAGAGTGCAGTGGTGAAGGTAACAGAGGATAGCGAGACATCTACCACCACTACCCTGTACCTCCTTCCACTGCCTTGTTCTTCTTATGCTCTCTCCTCGTAATACATTGTCCTTCCTCCCCTTTACCTAACGTTAACATGTCCTCCTCCCCTTCACCCTGTCCTGCCCTCCTTCCATATAACCCATCCTGCCCTATACTCTCTTCCGCCTATCGCCTTCCCCTCCCCTGCCCTGCGCTCTCCCTGCCCTGCGCTTCCTTCCCTTTGTACTGCCCTGCCTCCTCATAACAAACCTACCTTTATTCACTACCTTCCACATTCACCTTACCATCCTCTTGCCTCCTTCTATCGGCGTGAGACATACTGTACATATTTTACAGGGAGACTTAGGCCACACTCGCAACCCACAGATCACACTTATATTACATGTAATGCTAAAAGAAGTAAGGAGGTAGAGGAAGAGGGAGAAAATTTAGAAGTGCCACCTACATGATCATAACATAAAGTGAGAGCCAAGACCTGAACCTACACTCACAACAGACCTACACAACAACAACCCATAAACTACACTAACAAATACACTATAGACATATAGTGTATTCTCGAGGATAAACAAACAATTAGTATCACTATCAAGTATATAATGTTATCTCAATAATGATTTAGTTAACGATATAATTGCATCTCTTGCCTGTGACGCAGCATAAGACTAGAACTGCTAAATTGTTGGTTGTAATATTTAGGAAAATTTAACACAAGAGAGTCTAGGCAGCGTATAGGGCAAGGGAGCTGTTTACGCCGAGACATTATTTTACCATAGACCAACACCAACCAGCTTCAGCTATTATTACTGAAACACCACCCCCTACCACCCACCACCCCTACAACCAACCACTACTCTCCACTCAACCACTCCCCATCATTCCACCCCTACAACACCCCCACCACTCCAACCCTACAACCACCCCACTACCTCCACCCCTACAACCAACCCCACACTTCCACCCCTACAACCACCCCACTACCACACTCCCCACAACCAACCCCACTACCTCCACTCCTCACAACCATCCCACTACCTCCACCCCCTACAACCACCCCACTACCTCCACCCCTACAACCAATCCCACTACCTCCACCCTCAACCAACCACTACTCCAACTCTAACAACCAACCCCACTACCTCCACTCTCTACAACCACCCCACTACCTCCACTCTACAACCCACCCCACTACCTCCACCCCTACAACCACCCCACTACCTCCACCCCCACAACCAACCCACCACCTCCACCCCTACAACCACCCCACTACCTCTACTCCTCTTCCAACCACCCCACCACCTCCACCCCTGCTAACCAATTCACACCACTTCCAATTCTACAACCACCCCACTCACCTCCAATTCTCACAACCACCCCACTACCTCCACTTATAACCACCCCACTCCCTCCACTTCTCCAACCACCCCACTACCTCCACCCCCACAACCAATTCAATCACCCAACCCCTACAACCACCTCTGCACTACCTCCACTCTCTACAACCACCCACCACTTCCAATTCTGCACAACCACCCCACTACCTCCACCCCCACAACCACCCCACTACTTCCAATTCCACAACCAATTCTAACTACCTCCACTCTCACAAACCAATTCCACTCACCTCCACCCTACAACCACCCCACCATCTCCACCCCCTACAACCACCCCACTACCTCCACTCCCTACAACCAACCCATTACCCTCCAATCTCTACAACCACCCCACCATTCTACCTCACAACCACCCCACTACTCCACCCTACAACCACCCCACTACCTCCACCCCTACAACCACCCCACCACTCCACCCCACAACCACCACCCCACTACCTCCACTCTATAACAACCCCACCTCCACCCCTACAACCCCACTACCCCACCCCCTGCCAAACCACCCCACTACCTCCACTCTCTACAACAACCCCACCACTCCACTCCCCACAACCACCCCACCACCTCCACCTCACAACCACCCCACCACCTCCCACCCCTGCAAACATCCCACTACCTCCACCCCCTACAACCACCCCACTACCTCCACTCTACAAACCACCCCACTACCTCCACCCTCACAACCACCCCACTAACTCCACCTCACAACCACCCCACTACCTCCAACCCTACAACCACCACCCACACCACCCACAGATCCCACCCACACCACCCACAGAACCCCACCCACACCACACCACAGTACCCCCACCCACACACACGCACAGTACCCCACCTCCTCCCCCACAGTACCCCACCACCCATAGTACCTCCACCCCACCACCCACACCCCACCACACCCATAGAACCCCACCCTCACCACCCACAGCCCCACCCCCAGATTCCAACCCACACCCACCTCCACCCAAACACCCACAGCACCCCACCACCAAGTCCCCACCACCCACAGTACCCCTACCCCACCACCCACAGTACCCCTGCCCCCACCACCCACAGGCACCCCACCCCACCCACAGTACCCCCACCACCCACAGTACCCCACCTCCACCAACCACAGTACCCCACCACCCACAGAACCCCCACTCCCACCACCCACAGTGACCCCCCACCACCCATAGCACCCCACCTCACCACCCACAGCACCCTACCCCACCATCCACAGTACCCACCCCACCACCAGTACCCACCCCCACCACCCACAGTACCTCCCCACCACCCACAGCACCACCACTTCCCCACCACCACAGCACTCCTCCCCACCACCCACAGCACCACCTCCCCACCACTCACAGCCCCCTACCCCACCACCCACAGAGGCCTTCTGAGGTGGCTCATAGAAACGAGGAAAGTTAAATTGATCAGCGTAGATGGTGTCTGATCTGAGGGGGCCAACCAGTGGCTACCCAGTCAGTAATTAGCCCCACTCTTCATAATTCATATAAACAATCTAGATATCGGATCAGCAGACATAAGCAGTTTGGGATGACACCAAAATAGGGCGGCAGATTAATTCAGGGCAGGATGCAAATGCATTACAAGAGGATCTTAAATAAACTGCAGGGCTGGTCTCAAAAATGGCAAATGAAATTCAACAACAGCAAGTGCAGCGTACTAATATTGAAGAATACTGTCAATGTATACAGCCTAACAATGTCAACCCTAGAGAAGTCGACTTAGAAGAGACCTAGGGTACCTGTAAGCCCGGACCTACGGCCCAGAAAACAGTGCGTTAATGTCGAAATAGCAACAGAATATTGGGTTTTATATCTAGAAGTAAAAGAGTGCAGAGGTCTTATTGCAACTATAACTTGTGCTAGTCAGGCCGCACCTCGATTAAGTGGTTCAGTTCTGATGCCCTTATTATAGAAATGGATATCAATTCACTAGAGTCGGTAGCGGGAAGAATGACGAAAATGATTCCGGGACTTAGAAACCTTCCATATCAGATAGCTAAAAGAAATCAAACTTGCATTCTCTAGCAGAAGAGGGGAGATATGATAGTGTTTAAGGGTGAAAGGAATCAATGAAGGACATAGATAAAGTTCTTATAATATCCGAGCAGGATAGACCAGCACGTGATTTAAATTGATAAGTTTAGATTTAGAGGAGATAGGAAGAACTGGTTCACAAACATGGTGGTGGACGAGTGGAACAAACTGCAACTTTGTAATAAGTGCTGGATGCTGGAAAGTTTTAAAGGATAGATAGATCATATGATGAAAGTGGTAGTAACTCTCACAGGAGCTGCCATGGGCCAAACGGCCTATTGCAGACCCTTATTTTCTCATGTTCTTATGTACACCCTCCCCCCACCCACAGTACCCTTCCCAACCACACCCACGTGCACCCTCCCCACCACCCACCCCCCCCCACCCCCACAGCACCCCCTTCCCCAACCACCCACAGTACCCTCCCACCACCCACACCAACACTCCTCCCCACCACCCACAGTACCCCCTCCCCACCACCCACAGTACCTCCTCCCCACCCACAGCACCCCACCCCACCACCCACAGCACCTCCCCCACACCACAGCACCCCTGCCCCACCACCCACAGTATCCCATCCCACCACCCACAGCACCTCCCACCACCCACAGCACCTCCCCACCACCCACAGTACCTCCCCACCACCCACAGCACTCCCCACCACCCCACAGCACCCTCCCCACCACCCCACAGCACCTCCCCACCACCCTGCATCCCCCCACACCCACAGCACCCCGTCCCACCACCACAGATCCCATCCCCACCACCCACAGCAACCCCACCACCACCACCCACAGCACCCTCCCCACCACAGCACCTGCCCCACCACCCACAGTATCCCATCCCCCACCAACACAGCACCTCCCCACCACCCCCACCCACAGTGCACCTCCCCACCAACCTGCACCTCCCACCACCCACAGTACCTCCCCACCACCCACAACACCCCCACCACCCACAGTGCACCCTCCCCCACCACCCACAGTACCCCCCTCCCCACCACCCACAGTATCCCCTCCCCACCACCCACAGTGCCCCCTCCCCACCACCCACAGTACCCCTCCCCACCACCACAGTACCCCTCCCCACCACCACAGTACCCCTCCCCACCACCCACAGTCCCCTCCCCCACCACCCACGGTACCCCTGAATCTACGCATCTACATTACATGCTAGACCACATCAACGAGTGACTGTACATGATGAAGTCGCTAAAGGAGTAATTGAATCCAAGATGAATGGATGAAAAGCTACCCCATATCCGAGGCGACATCCACGAGGCCATATTAAACAAAAAACATAGTCGATTTAACAAACTGCATCAAAAGTCATCTGTCTGGATG